TTCCTACGGGCAATGGGACCACCTCCCATGTTTGGTTCTTCCGGAGAGATTCCATCTCCTCCATCGCAGCCAACCAACTCTCACTATCCTTGTCCCGAATAGCTTCTTTGAAGGAGACCGGCTCATCTTCCTCCACTGAGAGTGCGTACTCAACCAAATTAACCTGCCCATAGTACTTCAGGGGTTGATCAGCCCCCAGCTTCTGTACCTGCTTGTATGCTCGCCTTGGCCTAGTGAAAGCTAAGCTATCCTTGGTAGTGCCTGTGTATTCTCTTACTGAACCTCCTCCTGTTCAAGCTCATCATCTACCTGACTTTACACTTGAACACGACTAGAACCTGGTTGGTCTTTAGGTTCTATCTAAATAACCTGGGACTCGGGAGTCTCAACAGTCTCAACACCACCATCTTTGGGCACCCTAGCAATCATGGACTTCTCATCAAAGGTAACATCCCTGCTGATCACGAACTTCGAATCTTCTGTATACCAAAGGCGGTAGCCTTTTACGCCCTTTGCATACCCCAAGAAAATTGCCTTCTTGGCCCTCGCGTCAAGTTTTCCCTCGTTGACGTGATAGTAGGCGGTACACCTAAAATCCGGAGCCTCTCATAATCTACATGCTCCCCTGACCACACCCGATAGGGTGTATCACCGTCCAATGTCGAATGTGAAGATCGATTCACAATATAGCAAGTTGTAGCAATCGACTCAGCCCACCATTCTTTGCCCAAACAAGCATATGATCGCATACTCACTGCTTTCTCCCGCAGTGTTCGGTTCAATCTCTCCGTGACCCCATTTTGCTGCGGTGTAGATCTAACTGTTCTGTGTCTGGCAATCCCCTCCTGATCACAGAACTCCTTGAAGACACCATCTGTATACTCTGTACCGTTGTCAGATCTTAATGTCTTTAATTTCTTTCCTGTCCTGTTCTCAACAACCGCCTTCCACTTCTTGAATGTCTCAAATACCTCATTCTTATGTTTCAGGAAATAAACCCAAACATACCTCGAATGATCATCTATGAATGAGACAAAATATCTGGAACCACCCTTGGAAGTTGTTGAAGCCGAACCCCAAATATCCGTGTGCACATAATTTAGTATCCCTCTGCTCTTGTGCTTGCTCCTCAGAAACTAGACCATGTGCGCCTTTCCATACACACAATCCTCGCAAAAATCCATGCAATGTTTCTTCAGATTCTTTAGCAAACCCTCTTTACCAAGCAGATCCAGACCTTTCTCTGACATGTGCTTAAGCCGCCTATGTCATAACCGTGTGTGCTCACATGGTTCTTCACCACTTCCTTCAGCTCCAACTGTTGCATCTCCAGTCACCGTCGTACCCGAGAGAGTATATAGGTTACCATGACGAACACCCTTCATCACTGTTAGGGAACCTCGAACAACCTTCTTCACTCCATTTTCTGTAACAATCTTGCAGCCACCGGAGTCCAAAGCACCCACTGAGATAAGATTCTTTCGTAAGTCGGAAACGTGCCGCACGTCGGTTAGGGTTCTGACCACTCCATCATGCATCTTGATTTTTATATCACCGAGCCCTACCGTTTTACAAGCATGATTATTCCCCATCAATACGGTTCCACCATCAATGCTTCTATAGGTAGTAAACCACTTCCTATTTGGGCACATGCGAATCAAGAATCCACTTTTCGGAGGTATCCTCGCCACCCGTGACGACATAACATTCCTTATTGTTCCCTTCCTCTGAAGCGTAGCTCGCCTCTTCCTTACCTTCTCGTCTTTCAGTCTTGTTGTTCTTTTTCCCACCTACTCTCTTGTTAGGACAATCGACCTTGAAATGCCCAATTTCACCGCATTTGAACACGTCGTCCCACAAGAGGTCTCGATTTAGATCTAGACTTTCCTCTCTTACCTTTTTCTCGCTCATTGCCTCTTCCTCTGGCAAATAGTCCCTGAGCTTGTTCCTTGTTACCACCAGTGGTCATATCACTAGTTGTAATTTTTCGAAGATCATCCGCTAGAAGCGTTGCTCTAGTTTCATCCATCGACAAACTGTCATCCATAAGCAATAATATTTGAACCAGATTCTCATAAGACTTCGACAAAGATAGAAGTAATAGAAGTGTCTGATCCTCGTCTTCCACTATCACCTCAATGTCTTTTAAATCCGATAAGATCCTATCGAACTTGTTGATGTATTCCCGGATTGATGAACCTTCCTCCATCTTGCAAGTATACAATTTAGATTTTAAATAGATCCGATTCGTTAGACTCTTCGTCATGAAGGTGCTTTCTAACTCTAACCACACGCTCGCAGCCATTTCCTCCCCGTCCACTAAGAAAGCTACATCCCTTTCAAGACAAATGATAATCGACGCACGTGCTTCTAAATCCAGCTCCTCCCAATCCTCATCAAACATATCCTTGTGCTTCTTCTCTTTTCCCGCCAAAGCTTTGTGCAATTTCTGCGAAATCAACGAATTTTTCATCTGTATCCTCCAATAGGAAAAATTATTTTTCCCATTGAATTTTTCAATCTCGTACTTTTCAACTTTAATTGTTTTACTTGTAGAAGCCATTATCCGCTTGTAAATCCGCTTCTCTCAGGATTTTCAACAAATACCTTGTGTACACCACACAATAACCAACCACCACCTCAGATCAGTAGCTCAACCACCGCCAATCTGAATAAGGGCTCTGATACCAATTGTTGGGCGCAGAGTCACGCCCTCACGTCGCTGAAGCGATATCACCTGAGAGATAGTCCTGACTTTTGTAGTCACAAAAGCACAAGTCAACCTCTATATTCTTGTTTTTCAAAGGAAACTAGAATAGATAGTGAAATTCTTATATCTCAAAGGAAACAAGAATCGAAAGTGATACATTTCATCAAAGTAAAATATACACTCTTCCTCTCATTAGTTCTAAGACTTAAATGTCGAGGGAACCTAGAAGCTATGGCAACACACAGTAAAAGACGAGACAACAGATTTACGTGGTTCAGCAAACTTACCTACATTCACGGGAGGGGGGTTTCACTATGAGAAGAATACCAAACTATTACAAGTTCTCTCTCACTTACTCTTTCTTTTCCTCTCAAGTTTCTCACACTCAAGAATAACCCACTTAGTATTTTTCCACACACTTTCTCCTCTCAACCTCCCTTCTATTTATAGCCAAGAGAGAGAGGGGTGTGCCCTGCGGGACAGCTCAAAAATGAGCTCGGAAGAAGAGCTGTTGAGGGCTA